AGCTGGGTTGTGTGCAGCTCACCTTCAAGGAATCGGGACAATGATGGCCTGCTCGCGGCATCTTAGCATCAGAGAATGGTGGTACGATGTAACAGAAGCGATGAAGCTAATAGCACCAAAATTGGCAATACTAGTCGTACAATGAAGTGCCTCAGCACTGTTAAGGTCGAAGCGGAAATGTGGACAGAGGGGAAGGGTAGGAAAGACAAAATGGGAAGCGGCTGGCGCAGGAAAGGTTGTATAAGATTCAAAAAAGGGGGAATATTGTCCAGGGAAAGAAAATCTGCAATCCCATAGTTATGAGGAAGGGAGAATCGGAATTTGTAAAAAGGTCTCGTAGATCTTGGTCAACCTACACGACTCCGCCTTGACTTCTTTTGTGGAAAACTTTTTAGAAAAAAAAACGAACTTGCATGATCAACTGATGCCTCAGCAAAGACACTATGACCTTCGCCTTATTCTGTTGGTCCGCTAATGGTTGTTTGGAATTCAGGTAATCTCCAAGGGTGCTTGGCGGATCAAACTGCGCTAACGCGTCGGCCAAATGAAAAGAAGAACCAAACTGCTGCGTAAACAGCGTAACATATCTGAGTAGCAACGTTGATTCGCCAAAATTTCGAAAAAGTTTGTTGTACTGAACCCGTGATTACCTTCTAGGAGATTTTGGTAACGTCGCAGACGAATAGATATTAGTGTTGCACAATGGATAGATCACAACTGCTCGTGCCCAAAGGAGGAGGTGACGAACAATGAGGAACACCTAAAACTAAAGGTGGGAACGAGGAAAAGCACTTTAGCAATTACCTGCTAAAATAGATGGACCTGCAGGAGTGGTATCCCAGAAGCCGTGGACATGTCCAGTATCGAGCGGTCAGGTTCACAATGCTTCAGAAGAAGGGTTACTGATGGATTAGCGTCTGGACTAGGCCATACGTCCTCTAACAACAAGATTCCATGGTACGGCCTAAGTAGAGAAGATCAGAAGTGAGCTATTATTAAGCAAACATCGTACTTACCGTATCTGCTTGACAATGCTATCAATTT